TCCCCCATCCAGCATGCTTCAGGATGGGTGGACTTCAACTCCCAGAATTCCCCCATCCAGCATGGTTTAGGATGGGTGGACTTCAACTCCCAGAATCCCCCATCCAGCAAGAACTCACTAGATGGTGAGTTCTAGTTCTGTCTTAAACATGAAAACCAATTGCTTGACTTTGAGCCATTCCTCTCTCAGCCTAGCCCTCCTCACTGCTCAGGCTCCTTGCTGTCTCCTTCTTGCTCACGCAGTAAAGACTCTTTCAGTTTCCAAACAGCCCTCAACTCACTCACACTCTGACAGGACACTAGCCAGATGAATACCGATGGAGGCTGGTAGGCAGAGACACAATTTTTGTTTTCTTATTTTCCTCCCCCAAAACTACAACTTTAAAAGCAGAACTACAATGACGTGGGAAAATACCTGAACAAAACTGAATACCATACATGTAAGTACCCGCGAAAACTTAAGAAAACACACACACACACACACACACAAGTATGGGGGGGAAAAAACGGGCGAGGCCTCCTGTCGCTAACACAAAATCCATTTATTGGAAGGAGCAAGCGATCATATAGCACCAATAACGGCGGAAGTTGTCTAGCGGAGGAACACAGAAGCTTATTCCGAATTATACGGCAGCTACCGGCTTTATGGGGAGGGGGGGAAAGAAGGGAGAGGGAGAGGGAAGAGGAAAAGTGACCCTCTACCCATTTCACAGAATCTGTTCCCAACAACATCGAAGATAAAAACGCGTTCCCCCCCTCGCTCCCCTCGCCATGTCATTTTAATAAAGTGCTAGTGTTCTCAAATATCCTAGGGGTTAAATATTTAAGGGACATTTCAGGGGGGGGGGAGATGGGGAGGCCGTCCTGTCCCGTGCCTCAGTTCTGCGGGGTGGAGTAAAGGCTGTGATGATGGTGGCTGCCGGAGACGGCCGCCTGTGAGAAGAGAAGGGGGGCGGTGGGCGGGTGGCCCCCAAACCAGTCCTGCTCCCCCCCGCCGCTGCGGTTGATGGAGCCGTAGTAGCTCCCGCTGCCGTGGGTTCGTCCGGTCAGGCTGCAAAAGGAGGAGGAGAGGAGACACGAACCAGAGGGGTGAGAGATTCAGACAGAAAGGGCGGGAAGTTTTTCCTTCTCCCTCCTCGCTCTCTTTCCTTGTGTGTGTGTGTGTGTCTTTCTCTCTCTCTCTCTCTCTCTCCTCTTTCCCACTCTCCCCTTCTTTCTCTCTCTCCTTTCTTTCTCTCCCCTCCTTCTCTCTCTCTCTCCTTTTTCTTGCTCTCATCTTTTCTCACCTTTCCCTCTCCTTCTCTTTCACCTTCTCTCCTTTCTCTCTTCTCCTTTCTCCTTCTTTCTCCCCTCTCCCTCTTCTTCTCCTTTCTTGCTCTCCTCTCCTTTTTCTCACTCCTTTTCTCCTTCTCTTTTCTTTCTCTCTCCTTTTTCCCGCTCTCTCCTTCTCTTTCTCTCTCCTCTCGTTCTCTTTCTCCCTTTCTCTCTCCTCTTTCCCGCTCTCACCTTCTTTTTCTCTCCTTCTTTTTCTCTTTCTTTCCTTTCTTTCTTTCTCTCTCCTTCTCCCTCTCCTCTTTCCCGCTCTCACCTTTTTCTCACCTTCTTTCTCTTTCTTTCTTTCCCCTCTTTCTCTTTCCCTCTCCTTTTTCTCGCTCTCACCTTTTCTCACCTTCTTTCTCTCTCCTCTCTCACCTTCTTTCTCTCTCCTTTCTCTCTCTTCTCCTTCTTTCTCCCCTCTCCCTCTCTCCTCCTTTCTTGCTCTCCTCTCTCCTTTTTTCTTGCTCCCTTCTTTTTCTCTCCTTTTTCCTGCGCTCTCCTTCTCTCTCCTCTTTCCCGCTCTCTCCTTCTCCCTTTCTCTCTCCTCTCTCTCCTCTTTTCTGCTCTCTCCTTCTCCCTTTCTCTCCTTCTTTCTCTCTTTCCCACTCTCTCCTTCTCCCTTTCTCTCTCCTTCTTTCTCTCTCCTTCTCTCCTCCCTTTCCCTTTCTCTCCTTTCTTTCTCGCTCTCTCCTTCTCTCTCCTCTCTTTCTTGCTCTCTCCTTTCCCCCCCCCTCTTTCTCCTTCTCTCTCTTTCTCTCATTTTCTCCACTCTCCAGTGTCCGTGTTACCGGGAAGGTTTTGCTGGATATTTGAAGGATTTTTTAAAAAAGGAGGTTTACCTGCTAGTCAGTCCTTCGTTTTCGCGCTGCCCAGGATAGTCAAAGAAATAAGAACGGGAGACACCCAGCTGCCGGTTGAAGACGCGACTGGCACTCTGCCGGAAGGGGAAAAAAGACCATTTCAGCTTTCCTCCCCTTGCTGGTTGGTTTTGCTTGTTTTCATTTGCACCCCAATCGCACTCAGCGGATCTACGTTCCTAGCCCCTACTTTAACAGGGTGGATTGGATTGAAATCAAGTCGACTTAAATCGGGATTTAAACCCCTAGTAAAAAGTCTTGGATTGAAATCAACTCCGCTTGTCATGTCTTTTTTTAAAGAGCAACCGGGACAGTGCCAGTCCCTTAGTATGTAGCAGTGACACAACAAGGTGAGGAACATGGCGGGGCAGCAGGTGAGTGGATGCCCGCTAACAGGCGCTGCCAGGACGGGTCTGAAAAGACAGGCGCTCTTTAATATAACATTTATAAGCTGCTTAGAACAGGCTCAGGGCCCAAGATGCTGAGTTTGTCGATCAGAAAACGTCAGCAGTTCGGCGGTTCGAATCCCTAAGCACCGCGGAACGGAGCTCCTGTGATTTGTCCCAGCTTCTGCCAACCTAGCAGTTCGAAAGCACGTAAAAAAAAAATGCAGGAAAATAGGGACCATTTTGGTGGGAAGGTGACAGCATTCCATGCGCCTTCAGTGTTTAGTCCTGCCGGCCACGTGACCACGGAGACGTCTTCGGACAGCTGCTTAGGTGGCTTCACTTCGATTTTGACCGCTTGCCCTGCCTCCTCACACTTAAGAGGGTGGTACAGGTGCGTTTCTCTTCAAGCAATCATACGGTTTGATTTGCAAAACAATGGGATAAAAAGGAATATTCCTGAACTTCATTTTAGGATTTATCTCACTGTTACTGGGAAATTGTCTGAATGCATCAATGCAGGGTTGTGTTACCTCAGCTTGGATTCATGGAATGGGATTACCCCAAAAAAAAGTAAATATTGCAGAATAGACAGCCAGCCTCAGGCTACCTAACTAAGCTCCGTTTCATGCTCAATAAACTAAATTATCAATGTTACCTTAAATAGAAAACTATCTTTAGATAGATTTTTTTTTACTGCAAAAGCATTTGATTAAAATAAACGTGATAAAAGTATAAAAAAAAAATCCGATTTAAATTTTTAAAAATCCGATTTAAATTTTTTTTTTTAAAAAAAGCACATTTTTAAAATTTTATTTTTAAAACCCTCGATTTTTAATCCACCCTGCTAAGTAAAACACCCGTCCCTTCACAGCCTCTTGATTGTGAGGCGAGAGCGCCGCGCCTAGGCCGCCGCGGCGCTACACGGTAAGATGGGCAAGCCAATGAATAACTAGACCAGGGGTCTCCAACCTTGGTAACTTTAAGCCTGGAGGACTTCAACTCCCAGAATTCCCCAGCCAGCTTTGTCCTCCAGGCTTAAAGTCCTCCAGGCTTAAAGTTGCCAAGGTTGAAGACCCCTGAACTAGACAAACGAACCAATAAAAGGGGTTACTTCTTGGAGGAGGAGGAGGAGGAATGGTAAAACCTGGGGGCGGAGTCCAAAAGAGGCATCAATCTAGCATCCCTACGTAGTCACAAGTGAACTAAATCCAAACCTCTTTGGCTCTTGTACTAACGCTAACCAGGCGCTGACTTGTTTGTTGGGAAAAGATTTTAAGAAATGAAGCGGTTTAATTGAACCTTCACGCGTGGAGCTGCTCTTTCGCGCGCCTGGTATCGAGATCCAGAGTCTTGATTCCTCTCCCCTCCCCCTCACCGAACGTCCCGCTCACCATATCCTGAGCCGGCCGATGCACCCGGAAAAAGCCCACCAGCAGCGTGGTGGGTAGTAACTCCCAAACGAAGAGGATGAGTCCAAAGACGATATAACCTTGATCCCCAAGATCGGTTATTAGGTCAGCCTGGAAGTGGGGGAGGGAGAGAGAGACTAGGTAGTTAAAACACACCCCTTGATTCCCAAATCTTTATACCCTCATTCAAATCGTAAGTCTCTAGCCGCATCTCCAGAGTAAAAAAAAAAAAAAAATGATTTATTAGGAGTGACCATGTTGGCATTGCCTGGGTGCAGCTGACACTAAGACACATCATTCATTTCAGGGTTGCCAGATCGCAGTTTGGCTCTGCGGCCAAACTCACGTCAAAATACGGCCAAATTATTTTTTGCTCATGGTGATGCGCATGCGCGAGGGAAGGAGAGCGCCAGAGGATGCGCTTGTCCTCCTTTTGCTCAGGGTGACGCGCATGAGCGAGGGAAGGAGAGCTCGGGATGGGTGGGGAAGCCGAGGGGCGTGGCGTTGGAACGAGCCGTAATAGGAATGGGTGTGGTGTTGATGGAGGAGGAGCCGCCCCTGCTCGGGTCACAGGCGGGAAGGGGGCGTGGCCGGGCGCCAAGGTCCCGAAGGGGTGTGTGACGGGAGTTGAGAGGAAGCGGGCCTGTCGGAGAACTGAGAGGACGCGTTTGTCCTCCTTTTGCTCGTGGTGACGCGCATGCGTGAGGGAAGGAGAGCGGCTGGGTTGCCATCTGGCCGATTTCACGGCCAAGCAACTTTCGTACGGCCAAATTTCCGTTTGGCCGGAGACATCATTTTTTCACGGCCAAGCAGATGGAAATACGGCCAGATTTCTCGAATTTGGCTGGAAAAACAGCCAGATGGCAACCCTGATTCATTTCCCCCTTTACCCTGGATGCATATTCTCCAATGGGACACGTCCATAGCCAAGTGACGTCAATCATGCTCTCCGGTAATAATCTTGCGCGCCAACAGCTTCGGCGGCCTAGCAATTATCTGAAGCATTTAAGGAATGCCCTACTTTCCCTTCCTGCTGGCAACTAAAAAGACCAAAGAAGTATTTTTTTAGTTGACCCATTCTTTGACTTGTGACTGGTCACTTAGCATAGATTCGAAGTTACGACGGACCTGCCTTGAGATTACTTTGGGCTACGTTTACATCCGTTCGCAGCGTTCCACGGTCAAAATGCCTTAAAATCAGGTCAGTGATTCGCTTTATGACCATGATGGGCAGGCTCTCTAACGGTCACAATTCGAGGACCGGCGTAGAAGTGGCTACAAAGCGTGCCAACCACCCATCCAGCTAGGCCAGAGTCAAGACAGTGTGAATTCGGACGTTTGAATATTCATCTATTTGGAGCCTGGGGGGAAACTGTTCCATGCTTCCTAGCTCAGGGGAGGGGGAGGATGGGGACTGTGGTCCATGATGCTGGAGATGCCCTCCCCCCACCAGGTGCTCTTCAGCCTCCCTTCCCCCGAAGGATTCACCTGGTCGGAGACATTGTACCAGTCGTAATCGAAGGAGTCGAGCCGGGTGCGGGATGAGAGCGCCAAGGCAGCTAGGTTGTAGCAAGCGCGGCTGGCGTAGAGCAGGACGATGGTGCCCCCCATGGCTGCCGTTTGGCACAGCGTGGTGCCCTGTTTCGGAGAGAGGAGGTCAGTTTGCAGATGGGCTATTGCCAATTAAAACCTGAGGCCTGACTGGGGCATCGTAATACATTTTTTTTTTTTTAAACAATTTTATTGATTTTTAAAAACAAACAAAACAGACAAAACATAACAACATCCAGCTTTCTTTCATAAATATACAAACAGTGTATCGGTTGGTTTACCAATTTTTGTGTGTGCATCCATTTCGTGGTCTCAATTACAATGACATTACATAATATCTCATATTGTCAATCAGAAGTTATATACCCTAGTATCACTATTAAACAATCATTTCACCATGATTTTATTCATTCATACTTTGCGAGATAACTATAGTTATCTGGCATCGTAATACATTTTTTGTTACGGTCTTCAACCAGCACCGGAAGGGTGAAAACGCAAATGGGGAATCATTTTAAAAGCTGGAAAAATATAAAATACGCAAACTGATAAAGACTGCTGGATGGAACACGCCACCAAACGTTGATTGTATAGAGAGAGCAAATCCTACTCTCTACTAGCACGGATGACATAACCTAGCTGGGTCAAAACCAAATTCAGAGAGCCTCAAAGGATCCCACAATCCTCCCGCTTCTCCTCCACTTAAATAGATATTTAAGATCTCTTTCAGCCAAACAAGACGTAGCAGGAAGAACCAGTTTGTTATTCATGGGAGACGACTCTTTGGTGCAAAGTCTTCCTCCTTCTCCGCTCCTCCTCACAAACCTTTTAGCACTGATGGTGTTACCTAGCTGGGTTGAAATGAAACATCTGCAAGAAAACCATCAAGGTCACAGAGACTAAGGACCCCAAAACTCATGGTCACCCTTCTCCTCTCTGTAAACCCCATTCTCTTCTAGCGCTGATGAGACTACCTAGTTGGGTCATGAAACATCTGCAAGAAAACCACCAAAGACCCCAAGTTCTCTTCCTGCTCCTCCTCCCCCCCATCCTCTTCCTCCTCTCCACAAAACCCCATTTCCTTCTACTACTGATTCTGTTACCTAGCTGGGTCATAAAACGTCTGCAAGAAAATCACCCAAGCTCAGAGACTGTCAAGAACCCCACACATTTATATTAAATCAGAATAAAATAGAATAGAAATACAGAAAAGAACAGAATGGAAATAGAATAGAACAGAGAATAGAAAAAATCGAATAAATAGAAAATAGAATATCGATTAGAGAATAGAAATAGAGAATAGAATAGAATGGCTTGGAATAGAAATAGAATAGAGAA